AAGATTAACACCGGGACTACGGCCGCGCTCATCTAAGGGGCAGTGAGCAACCAAGCAGAAATTTTTTTGTTGTCACTTCTCCCGTTGCTGTTTCCCGCAGAGATTTGTCTGTGGAGGCTAGTTTGGAACACCCGATCAAAAAATGCCGTATTTTCCGGACCAAGAACCGGCAGCCCGTTTGAAATCCAAGAAAAAGGTGGTTCGGTTCTCATCAATTCAGTGCAGGACGAGGTTTCCCTATCATTGTGTTCGTCGTTACTCTCCATCTTTTTGGCCGGAGCTGTGTGGTGAAAGTTCTGACAGCAAAAAAAGCCACCGAGACAGATGGAATTTGGCGTCCGCCAATCAGCCGTCTCCATTTTATTGACGCCTTGTCTATTTTCGAGTAGTTTCGGTAGTTTCGCCGCATTCTTGTGCGCACCGCATTCGAACTAAGTAGTTCATTCAGCGACCGACACACATCAGGCGGGAGCCTGGGCATTGCAACTGGCGCATACCACACGCCCGCAACAGGATAGAACCAGCAGAGACCACTCTGGTCTCGGTGTGCACGAAGTTTCGCAATGTCAATCCACACTGAGTGTCGATGACGAGCACGCAGCAGCACCCAGAAGAGCCACAGCGAGTAGAGGGAGATCGCACACACACGTACACGCGATTTTATGTCGAGCTATGTGGTGCCGGCCAGCAGCAGTAGTACCCACACCCAGGGATCTGGGCATGCTTGTACTATGTCGTCTGCACGCCTGTTACTCTCTCGCCAGACCTTCAAGTAACGTGATTATGATGCTCTGGCACCTCTGAGTTGTGCCCGCTCCCTTGACTCCATCTGTAGTTTATTTTTGGAATGAACGCCCCAAAGCAATCGCCATCAATCATCAATCCCGAGGCGTTGTTTGTATGTTGACAACCTGCATGGCCGTATATCTGCACCGTGATTTCTTGCTGTCGCGGTGACGACACCGCTGCTCTGGTGTTTCCTTCTCCTCCATTGATTCAAACAAGTGCAACATTTTGAAAGCGTGCGGCCCGCACAGAAAATATGGGTTTCACACAATTTGCGGCCTTTCCCCGCGTAGTTACACTCCAAAAGCTTTGTCCCGGTACATTAACCTTTTGCCAAAGTTCTTCGCTGCGCGGCCGTGATCGCGTACAAGATCACACAGCGACGGGCGCGTTCCAATAGTTGTTGTTGTTTCTCAAACTAGCTCTATAGTCCACAAAAATGGGGAGCGCGTGGTCGCAAAAACCCGGCACATACGACGCCGCGGGGAAACAATATCGCGTGCTGGAAACAAAAAGAGCAGGATCAATCTGATGAGGCATCACGCATATTGGTCGCGTGTTTTGAAGTATATATGTAGAAGGAGACCCACCTTCCAGCGTTGAACCCTGTCTCCGGATGGACCCTCGAGAGGAGGAGGCCAGAATCCGGCGGGATCATCGAGGATGAGCGCTTTCTTGAGGATCACACCAGCGGCGGCGATGAGCTGGGCTTTGTGCCTGGAAATGCTCCGAATAGAAAAACAGTGGAACAGCCGATTGACTACAGGCAAATGACTCATTCGTCTGAATTTTGGCTTCAAGATGGAATCTCAAAGCTGCTACGAAGGTCTAGCTGCTACGAAGGTCTAGATCGCGTCGCATACGCACGGATCCTCTACCCGTAGCACCCTATACTTCAAACCTAGTCTCTGCCCCACTAGTATTACTGACACTGTCAATCATCGTCAATCCTCGTGGTACGTACGGATGGTCGCTTTGTTGCGGAAGTGAACGATATGCAGACGAGCAGCACCTACCTGTAGAACTAGCGTTTTGGGCTTATAGGCAAAGGTCTCCACGCCAACCACCAGTCAAGCGTCCTACCCAGGATAGAATACTCTCAGGCAGAACGAACTTTAACCGATTTGACGTTCTTGACGAATATTGATGAATATCGCCCGACCAATGGACGAAGTAACCAAACAGCAGTGTGAACGTTTTTCATACCTGTCACGGCTGCGTTCCCACTTGGGCGGGGGAGTCCAAGATAGCAGCTGCTTGATTGCGGTAAAGACATCTTCCTCAAGGACCAGATCACGGTAGCCGGGCGTGCGGTTCATCTCGTTCAGAATGTCCTGGCCGAAATGTTCAGTTGGAGGGAGAGCATAACAAGACCAGGAAAGTGGGAGCATGAAACATGGGTAGGGAGGAAGATCGCGCATTGAGGCCGGGAAAGGAAACAAATAAATCCTTGGTGGAAGTTTGACGATTCTCCAAGGCTTGCTGTAGAACAACACGTATCAAGATTTCTTGACGACATCTACTTCGGGACGTGCCTCGAGATAATTCTTAACATTGCTCGCCTACCGGCTATCTTCGAGGAGGGTACTACAGCACACCGGGCAGAAACTTGTTGACGAACTGGTTCTGAAAAGGTAGCTGGGACACCCTCACCTTCTTTTGTGTGATTTTTCGTACCGAACGAAGCTGTTCTGCTTTTTATCGTAGTGCCCTTGGATAGCACGGGAAAAACGGGAAACTTGCTCGCCATTTTTCCCCACGAGGCGAAAATGTCAAAGTCTCATGAGACTCGACGTACTTGCCAATCTAGCGGTCTATGGTGCTGTACCTGCACTTCTTCCATGACCGTCCTATCGGTTGCAGTCACGACGTCCAGGCCTCGCGCCGCGGTCGATGAGTTGCCACCATCCATGTCACCTAGCTGTGCCGTACTCGTACATGCGGACCGAGCATGACAATGCGATACGCAACATCAGCGAAGTACGGTAGGACACCTTGTCGATGTGATAAAGAGTGTTCATGAGTCAACATGTAACGACTGGTTTTGCTGCTCACAATGTCGTGGAGGCCTTCTAGCTCGTGTCGCACTCCATCGCATCGCTCCCCGATGCCGGGTGCCTTTGAATTAGCTCCGACTCCCACTGCCCCCTTCAGCCGCTGGCGGTGGGTTGTGACATTCCTCCCTTGCCCTGCAGGAACGTGCAAACAAATTGTTCATTTGGTATGATACCCCAACACTGCCGTCGGCCGACTGACTGTATTCTCTATTTGAAAGTTGATGTTTTAGGCGAACGTTTGAGTGCAACTCAACATCCCACGACCGGGTTGCCATCACCACGTTGGTCGTCTTGCTCAGGAAGCGTTTTCGATTGTCGGTTTTCGGATTGGAGTTTGGATTGTGCTCGGAATAAATGCGCGGCATCCGTGCTCCACGCTTACAGAAGCCATCGCTTAGTTCTGGGGAAGGCGAGAAACAAAACCACCCATCCCCACCAGGCTCTACTCCAGTGGTCGATGATGACGCAAGCATGCTCTCCTTTGTTGTGGTCGCTTCCGTCACGATCGTCTTCTCCGACGAATTTGCGAGAAGGGGGGATGTGAGGTTTCCGGTATAGCTAGGGGGAGCGGAGCCGGGGACCGACATCGGTGCTGCAGATACCACCCTTCCACTCGTCGTTTTCCCTTCATATCCTTCCGAGCCGGCGGTACAACGCTTCTGCGACACCGGCCACTGCTGCAGGTCCCTCTTTAGATGGACATGGGTGGATTCGTCAGCGCAGACTTGGGCTTCGTCGCGGGCTCCACCACTTCCGGCGGTGCGGCAGCAGCGTCCGGCAACGACAGTGATAGGCGAAAGCATCCCGACAAGTCGCTTTTCTTGGCCAACCTCGGGTTTCGCAACATGAGGGCTGGTGCCGCCCTCCCGGCGGTCCTTGACTTGGCTTCCCTCCTGGCGGACTCCGGGCGATACTTGACGATTTCCACCAAGCGCCCTCGAGTTTGGCGTCATTTGGTCGCTGGTAGGACAAGGAGGGTGAGCGGTGCCCGGTACGTTTGTGGTCATTGCTGCTGTCGGGGGGACTGAATGATGAGGCGATGGCGACGGTGTTGATGATGTTGGTGGCGACGGCTTGGCTACCGTAGCGACTTGCTTGCTTCCGCCAACACCGCGGGTGCCGAAGATGCTGCCAGAAACGTTTGAGTAGCCTTGTACCATCGTGCCATCACCGCCGATCCTCCCGTCTTCGCGGCCAAAAGCAGACCTCATGGTCGTGACACTGCTGCTGTCGTTGTTGTGATCTCCGGTGTTGGTTTCGCTCTCAATTTCTGCAGAACGCTCCCCAATACGTTCGAGCTCGCCGATTAGAGCGCTGGCCACCACCCCGAGGTTCCGACACACCTGCTTGCGGGAGTAGAGGCGAGTGGGGGGGGCGAGAGGAAAAATGATTTTATCAGAGATGTAGATCCATAAGGACGGGCGTACTTCTTGGTCATTTCTGCTAGTTGAAGAGCGACGGGACCGTGGACGGCAAGAAGAGCAGGAGTGGAGAGGCAGGCATTCTGATGCGTGCTTGCGTTTGTCTCTACATTTGGTCTGCGTTCCTCGTCGACGCTTAGCCTATCGGTGGTTCGATGATCAGCTTTCGGGTGGTGTGCCATTGGCAGGCATCAACCAGGTAGTAGGCGCAAATTCATCAAAGTGCAACTTCTTACAACAAAATGAAGAGAGGTGTCTTGGTGCTGGGACCGAGAGGATGAACTGTCTCAGGATATAGTCAGAATTCATCACAAAGGTACAAATGTTGGTATAATTGTTATCTCTGCCCCTCAACTGTCAGGATGACGTGGAACGCACATGACGATTCTCATCGCGTAGTGGGTGACAACAGTTGACGTCCGCAACGATTTTCGTCATTTAACTTGGAACCAGCGTTGTAGTCTTTCGCAACGATAGATATCCGTCAAAATAACAAAACCAACACGGTTTGTTGGCCTCGGGGGAATCAGTTCCCGCACCGAGAGTTCAATTTTTTCTTGTTGGTCTTGGTGCTGGCGCGGTTGCAGTAACACATTTACGGGTGCCCTCGACCACTTCTTGTTGTCCCCTTGGCAGTTCTTACTGACCCAACAGGTTTGAAGATTACTTGCGATGTCACGACACAACTCACACACAGCGCACCCAACAGCGGTACACTCAAACGTTTCAATTCCAGGACTACTGCAAGGATTGGTGTACCACGTTACCTTGGAGGGGTCCTTCACGCTCCGAAGGTGAGTCAAGACATGATCCCTAAACTGTACAGTCGTCTTCAGGCACTTGGACCTGTTTAAACATTTGGCGACAAAGATTATGTGCAGGGCGGGTATGCGTAGCTCGTCTATGAGTTCACCGTTGATAGTTCCGCGGAGTTGGAAGTTGGATTCCACCTACAGCCAACTCCCTCTTGCTTGCTTGTATGCCGTGCAATAAAGCTTGGGCGGGTGCAAGACAGGGAGCCGAGAATTCCGAGGATATACCTCCCGTTTGTCCACGTTAGGAGCCAAACCGAACGTGCTCCGAGAGCGCGCACAAGTACAAGTTTATCTTTCGGTGGGTCACGCCAACTACCGGTGGGCACGCACGTACGGGCGAGGGGGGGGGGCATCAACAACGGCTTTTCGTCTGTGCCTTGGTGCCTTAGCGTATTCGGCGCCAGCACTAACTTCCGCGTCGATCACGATCGATACAGTGTCTACAACTAGAGCCCTGCCGGCCCCTTTTGAGCCATGCTATACACTGCAAGGCCATGCGATGCATATGTGACAACAAAAATATTTGATTGGACAAGACGACGACGTTTTTTGCTCTCCTTTAGCGCCAATATAGCCCTTCCGTGGTCCTCAGCGCCGCACCGCAGCGAGGTTGGTAGTCTCGGCCTATTGCATCACAAAATACTCAACATCTTCTGTGGAATGACACTGTTTTGTTATCCCGTTGAGTGCTTGACTGTTTCGTATCGAATCATGTCTCCTGATTCTTGAACATCGTTGGTACTCTGCAGCCGTTCCCTCCGCAGAAGGTTTCGGGTTGTCCTTCAACCAGGTCTGTTCTTAAGCAGAAACTTGAGAACTGCCAAGCTCTCTATCGCCATCCTACGGGCGCATACCTCAGAGACTTCAATCCAACCTCAGCAATCTTCATCGCACCGCTACGGCGTCGCTTTGTGGCCCAGTCACGGAGTACTCCCCTGTCGAGCTCAAGGGCACGAGCAGCCTCGTACTTTTTTTCTATTTCATCTGATGATTATATAGGAATCAACAGGGCAAGAACACGATGGGGGCAGACCAGGAAACGTAACATGTGGAAACCCATCGAGGAAAAACTCGTCAAGAGCATTGCTTGACAAACATGCTGGTCTGAATTATCTACCCTTCAGAGAACAGTCATCCCCGAACCATACGTAGCGTCGAGCCTTGCATGCACACACTCTGTACAACGATTCAGTGACAGTTCTTGTTTCTTCCTGCTTGGTACGTACTAAATCCTGACAGTCGTGGGCGGCAGCAACAGCAACAAATAGACAAGGCAGTCAAGCTGTATTTTCATTTTATGTTCGTGGTTCAGCTTCTCCTCGTCCAAGCAGGCGATTGATTCCTCCTCGTCGATTCTATCAAGTATTGAAAATTTCGCACCCATATTTAATGTTTCCTATACTGCACCGAGAGCCAGCAACCTCAGAAACTACAGAAATATTCCCCATGTGCTGTTGGCTTGCGACATGACGGCTTTGTTCGGTGGGCACGCTCTCTGTGTGCAGGTCAGGGAAGTGTTCGGATCGTATCGCGCCCGTACTTGGGAATGGTGGCGGGGGTACCGTTGGTCCTACTCCGTTCCGAGAAAGTGCCCCGAGTACGTGGCGGGCGCACGCCCCTCGGGGCTACTTGTTCAAAACCGTTTTACGATCGTCCCTTTTTCCCCGTGGGATGATTTCCCCGCTCTTGATCCCATTCCGCTGATGACCAAACCCACATTGCTCCTTGAACCTGCCGCTGTTCCGGTTGTCAGGATCAGCACCCTGTTCGGGCGCCACGGCGTTCTTCCTCCCATCGCTTCCTGCCACGGCCGGGTTCGCCTCCGCCGGGACCCCTTTGCCGATGTTCTGCTCCAATTCCTTCGCGGTGCTGCTTACTGTGGCCATCGACCCGCGTCGGCTTTGCCCAGCACCTTGCCCTCCTGCGGGAGACCCGGAACTTTCTTGAAGGATCTTGGGGTCGTCTAGCAGGAGCATGCCTCGCGCGATGTTGAGGAACTTTGCTGGGAGGTTGGGGGACCTGAAAGGGTGGCACGATCCGGTAGCGGTGGGGGTGGTGGAATGGCTATACGAAAAATGTTTGAGGACGGCCGACGACGACTAAGACATGGAAATATGGAAGAATGTACGGTGCAGAGGTCAAAGCAAGCGAAGTGACCAGCGGCCATGCTCGCGAGCACCGGGGGTATCTAGCATGGCTGCCTCCTGCAGTCAGAAAAGGCCGGGAAGAACATCGCCGTTCGTGCATCACGATATGGTCTACTGGAAGACTTACGGCCTTCTTTCGAGCAGCGATGAGCAGAAACCCACACCATTCTGAAGGCCTTTCGCCCACTGACCGGGAGCGAGTACAAGGTTGATTTGTCGTCGATTTCACCCACATCATCCTTGAGGGTCGCTCTCACGTCCGCCCACTCATAGGGGATGGATTTTCGATCAAATAGACGAAAAAAAGAACGCGCAAAGATCGTGATCGGCTGGCATGGGGGATCATCGCCTGCCAGCGGCGTCAAGGGTGCTCGTGCTTTGATTCATGCTATTCTAGCAGTGCACTACCAGAGGTTCTTCTTCTCAAGGATGGGAGTGTGGTGTCCATCCTTCGAGCTTTTTCTTGGGGCAGTTGCTGCGATACACGATGCCGTGCAAGGGCGTCGCCATTATACATTGGAGAAAAAATTTAGGCCCTAGAATGACGGGAACAGTGGAGCGAAGTTGTCTTGTTGGTTTCAAGATAGTCCAATGTAATTTTTCACGACATAGTTTTCACCTTAGATGCCACGGGCTAAACACACTACAGTTAAGTTCTATGTCAAGCCACGAACACCTCCCCCCTAGGGTTGCCATCCCTGAAATCAATGCTGTGCGGCCAGATCGATACATCAAGCAAGTCGTCTGTTTTTGCTTCTTCAGACATCATTTTCTTTTTTATTCAGGCGCAAATGTAATGGGGAAAACTCCAGGGTAAACACGATGATTACTGGACTACCAGTCAGCGCTGACTAGTAGTCCAGTGGTGTTCGTCCTTCTCAACAGGGCTTGCAGCAAGATATACATGGTCCACTTTGGGTACTTACCAGTCTTGACCTATAGCGAAACTATTTTGATATTGTTGGCGTCGTACAGCAGCAGACTCGGCTTGGGCAGGCATCGACCGGTTCGTTCACGGATGGATGTGTTTTCCCGTGACCGGGAGTTCTCGTGGTTGTGCATCTTCCTCCGCCCTGTTCCACCTGCTGCCTGGACGAATCATACGTCAACCCCACCAACACCATTACAGCACCATCACCATCACCGCCGTCGATACAACCAATACATTTATCTGCGCCGAACATTGGCGTAAATCCAAGCTCCACCTTCAATCCACCGCACATCACTACCTGTGATAGTCAAAGAACCCTTTCGTTGGACCTACCCGGCGAGCATGCGTAGAACGTCCGTCATGGCCTTTTCCTCTTCGCATGCCTTCTTTTCTGCTGCTGATGCTTTGTTTTTCCTGCTGCCCTTTCTCCCCCGAGGACTGCCGCTTTGCCGTTGCCCGGCCATGAGATCCGAGAGCTGCTGTGACGGGTAACTACAGCCGATTACAACATTTTGGAACGTTCACCGCAGTAGTCACGAACAGCAGGGCACAGTATGTTTGACGCAAAGCAGGGTGGGGGCGGGCGTACCCCTTTGAACGACTACACCTCGTCTACTCTGGACTTCCCTTGGGCGGCCGGTCGAAGCACAAGGAAGTCTGCCTGAAGGTCGAAATAGTGAAAGATCCCTGGGAGAGAGTCTTTCCGACCGGTGTACGATGTGGTATGCATAGGCTACGCACGTCTAGAACGCATGACTGAGGAGGAGTACGCCAGCAAAGAGGTTATCTTGCTGGACGCAACTCTCCCTTTCCCAGCTTAGCGGCTTTTACAGATTTCGCCAGCCGGCACCTTTCCATGTGCGCTCACATCACGTGCACGCTCAATGGTGCCAGGCTGGAAGAACGCGTTCAGGGGTCGCAACGCGATGGCATACTTGGTACGGTGCGGCACGGGTTGGTCTGAACGTGGACAAGCACAGCAGTAGATGTGCCCACAGGGGTATAGCCTAAGACATCGACCCTCGCTTGTCCCTCAGTACCGTAATAGCTTTCGGGGTGCAGGCATTCGACTCACCGAGCAAGTGGAACTGCGCTGGGTAGGAAAATATGCGGCAGTTGGTGCCACCTCAGGTGTTTTGATTGCCCCCCCGGGCAAATACAGACAGCAAGAAATCTCACAGGATCGTTCGTTTTACCCCCCCCAAAAACCCTGACACAGATAAATTGCTTTGCGTTCATCCGCGCCGAAACATTTTCGATATTGTTGATATCGGCCTACAGCTAGAGATAGTGCTGCGCTTAGAGACCCCAGGTGGGTGTCACCGTGACCCTAAGATCTGTCTCCCCGCCGGCCGCCTTCGATGGGCCTGCGGCAGAGTAGCGAATCATCGGGCTAAAATGCGGGGAGACTTGTGCCGTTTGAGGATCTACGGTACCGCTCCAAGAAGGGATCGGGAGCAGTGTTGTAGAGCGCGTCCACGTAGCAGCGTCATGCAACCTCCTAGAGTTTCCTTCTCGCATCACAGGATGTATTGTAGTCTGCAGCAGTATTTTATTCCACCCTGTGAACACGTGACTATTCGCTACTTATCCTTGGCGTATCGCCCAACATGCTTGTCTTGCTCCTGCTGAATCCACAGGGCGAAGTACGTTATTTGAAGCAAGCAGCTATGACTGGTATATGCAGTGTCGACATAGACTTGAAGAAGACTCAAAATTCCCTCCACTCGCTGTAGGACTTCAGCGCATCCCCTTCGACTGCTGGGGTTATATGTGGAACAGGTAGTATCTGTCTTTCTGTATATTTCTGTGTACAGTCAATAGTTTCAAAAAAATATAGACTACAATGAGAAGCCTCACGAGACCTCATGAGGTGTCATGAGGTCCCATGGCACCTTACGGGACATCTCATGAGACGTCTCATAAGACACTTCACGAGACGTCTCATGAGACACTTCACAAGACGTCTCATGAAACCCCTCACGGGACCTCGAGAGACGTTCCACGAGAGAGCTCGAGACATGTAATGAGACTTCTCACGAGGGACCTCATGATACCTCGAGTGACCAAATGACAGCTCATGTCCCACCTATCACATCTCATGGAATCTCATAGACCTACACACGTAAATGAGACATCATGAGACCTCATGGCACCTCATGACTGATAATGGTACGTCATGATCCTTCGTTATAGCTCATGATATTTCATGACAGCTCATGGTACCTCATGACACATCATGAGGCCTGATGGGACCTCATGGAACCTATGACACCTCAGGAAACCATCATACCTCATATGGCACTTCATGGCTGCCCATGGCAGCTCATGATAGCTCATGATACCTCACAGTACCAATGACACCTCATGAGATCTCATGAGACCTTATGGGATGTCATGACTGCTTATGACTGCTCATGACTGCTCATGGTACACCCCATGATAGCTTATGATACCTCACAAGACTCTTTGTGACAGCTCATGGTACCTCATGGCACATCAGGGGACCTCATGACACCTATAACACCTCATGAGACACCATGAGACCTCATGGCACCTCATGACTGCTCATGGTACCTCATGTTAGCTCATGATACATCGTGAGACCTCATGACAGTGCCTGGGACCTCATGGCTGCTTATGATACCCCAGACACCTCATAACGATTCATGACGCCTTAACAGCTCATGGCACCTCATGACAGCTCATGATACCCCATGGTACCTCGAGACACCTCATGAGACATCTTGGCACCGCATGGTCCCTCATGATACCTCATGGCGCCTCGTAATACCTCATGATACCTTAAGACCGTTCACGAAACCTCAGGTACCTCATGTTACCTCATGACACCTGATGATACGACATGGAATCTCACTGGTTGCTAATGATACCCCATGGTACCACATGAAATCTAATGAGGCATTGCGAAAGTGTGTGCGAAGGTGTACCGATTGTGGTCAATCGACGGATACCCTGCGAATCGGGTCCTCCTTAACACGCTCCACCCACAGAGTTTACCCTCAACTGGGAACCTCGTGTGGGCCAGGACGGGTTATTCGATGGAAGCGTCAAAAGCTTCTTTGTAGGATCGACTCCAAGAGCGTTCTCAGGACTGACGCACACTGACTGTGTCCATGGGAAAATGTCCAAGTCAGGAGAAAAAACGTGCACCCAAGGGGATTCAAACCGGTATCCTGCGGACGCCGTATGAGCAGGTGTACCGTTTCTGATAATAGTCAATCGACGGATACCCTGCGTAGCGGGTCCTCCGTAAAAGCATCTAAATGAGGCATCATGACACGTCAGTACCTCACGGCACGTGATGAGACATCGTGAGCTCTCATGATGCCTCATGTTATGAAAACAATACAGAAAGCGCAGGACGACAAAATTAAAAAGTGTGGTATGCACTGAAAATCAACCACAACCGCGGTAGACAAAAGATAATCCAGCATAACGTGGCACCACGTGAAAGCTAGTGTCAGATTTCGGACAAAGAGACCGTATACGCAGAGCCAGCGGTCCCCACGCGGTTCCCACTCGACACGCGAGCCGAAGCGGGAAAAGCGAGCAAAACACAACGTCAACGACCACAATCACATGATCACAAGCGTTGTCCACAACGGTCTAGGCGTGTTCACTGCCGGTTCACACCGACCATGCCATTTTGCCCACACATATGCATACCTAAAAATATGTGGGGGGGATGATCACAACCTTTGTCCACAACGGTCTAGGCGTGTTCACTGCCGGTTCACGCCGACCATGCCATTTTGCCCCACACATATGCATACCTACAAACATGTGGGGGGCTCGAAATTTTAGGCATAGGAAATACGTGAATTATCTAGCGCCACGGCTGTTCTCTCGTTATATTCCAGTGCCACACCCCTACCCCCGATGCCGCTATCCTGGTACCCGAAGTATATCTCACGCGCTATTGAAAAAAAAAATGACATTTATACGTCCCGCGACAGCAGCTCCCTCGCAACCAGCCAACTGCACCTGCGAAGAGGTCTGATGGTCACCAGAACCGGACTCCAACAAAAGGGCAATAACAACGCGTTGCCCAAGACACGAAAAAACAAAACACGGCCACCGGAGACCCTGCAACCATTTTCCTGCCGACATCAACGACTCACAGCCCCCCACTGGAAAAATGCCTTCTTCACACAGAGGCATGTCTCATGAAAGTGAGAAACACCCGCGGCCCTTCGTTCGTCGCAACGCGTGTTCGAAAGAGACCCTGGAATCTAGCTTCCGCTTGCTGCCCAACCCTCGCCCGAGCGCGTGTCAGAAAGACCGCTCTCCCCGTATTCTCGTCCTCATGTCTAGCTGGCCGCGCTTGCACTCAAAAAACGACTGGTGATCCAGCCTGCAGAACTCCCTGCGGTTTTGTGGACACGAATGAGCACAATATTTGAACGGGAAATAGTCTCGTTGGGGAGTCACTTGGAGCACCAAATCCCCTATTCTTGAAAGCTTGGAAATGGGTGGACGTGCACGAAAGGCCACTCAACGCCACGGCGGGGTCGTGCTGGATAGACTCCAAGAAATCCACACTGCCCTCTAACGTGGCACAAAGATGAAACTAGAAAGTCGCAACCGACGATGGATGGCCTACAAAAGCAGCACCCCCCCCTACCCCGCCCTCCTCCCCATCGAGCATTCGCCACGAACCTGTCGGATGTTTTAAGGCATTCCTTCAGGCGGCCTCCATCCTGTGGACAGACGACCGAGAGGAGGCGCCACGCGAGCGAGGGGGAGGCAAGTGGAGCGAGCGAGAGAGGTGGGCGCGTTCTTCATCACATACACGAGGAAGGCAGAGCACCCTGGCTTCGAGGAAGGGCTTGAGAAATGCGAGATCGATACTGGTGTTGAAGACCACACAGTCTGCGTACTTTAGAGGATGGGTGAAGCGGCACCAGCACGCAAACTGCCTGCACGAAATCACAGCGTCAGCCGAACTAACTGCTCGCCGTGCTTTCCTTCGCCCAATGCAAAGCTACCGGTTCTTCGACATGCGTGCTTCCTTCTCTTTCAACCTATCATAAGATTGCTGCCATCTGACCCAGTAGATGTCGCCATGACTTGTCACAAGGAAATGCCCAAGCGTTGAAGGGATCCAATAGGGGAAAATAACGCAGGGCAGAGCAGGTTCGGGCATTTTTGGCAAAGCACAGCACACCCAGCGGGTGTGGACCGTCGCTCTTTTCCAAACGCAACCAGGTATCGGATCGCCAAAGATTCGGCTGTCGAGTACATACACCAGCCTTGCGACAAGAGCACTTGTCAGTGCGGAGTCATGGGCGCGATGTGGCATAGTATCACTGGGGTGAAGAGCTACGTTGTGTGTGCCTACCTTCATGCATTGAGTCTTTTTCATGCAGGCGTAAAGAGCCCGCGCGGCCTCCTTGCAATCCCTCCCCATCGTTTGCTTGTCGTCCAGAGCAAAAACACCTCCCTGTGGAATCTGATACGGCACAGCAGTTAATGCGGACCCGGGAGACAGCAGCATTCTGGGCGTTCACACCACGAAGCGGCTTCATCTTTGACTCAGCTGCCTAAACTCTTGGCGTGTGCGCGTCTGCCCCACGCTGTTCCTTTTCTAAATTTATCTTGCCCATGGTGAAAACAATTGCAGAGAACTATGCTCTTCACGCGAGATGACTCGCACCAGCAGCAACCCTCCCTCGTTTACGCCGGGTGTTGCATGTTCACGGACAGGCGCTTTCGAAACTGTGCGACGCCGGGATCACAGCCTCTGATGTTTTGGCTGTTGTGGGTTTGAGGTTATGAATTTGAAGCGGGGGCTTGTGTCAGACATCCTGCTGGAAACAGGCGCACTTCACCAGGTGGCACCTGCCTGCCGTCGTTACTGTGATAAAGGACTTGCACTGCTGTTGCACACGAAATGATTGCGTAGGGTGGAGCCCCCTCTCTTCCCCATTCGTTCTGCTGCTGTAGAGGCGCCGCCAGTGAAACCGCCAGGAAAGGGTACAAATGGGCGGGGTTCCCTGTTGATACAAGTGTACAACAAAGTCGAAAGGGCACTAATGTGCCGCTCATGTGCGGTGTGGTGCGATCGGTAGATTGTAGGACTACTGCTGTACCTCGTTCTGTTGCCCATGCTGAGCACTCAACGCGAGAAGAGTCATTGTCCAACACATTGACAACAACAGACGGTGGACAATACTGCGCTAAAAAATCACTAGTGCGGAAAGTCAACGAGGAACAGGCGCTACATCGTGCACTTCTGCTTTACACATGCCCCGCTGGTTTGAAGGTGGTACCGGCGCGTTCGATACTGCACTACAGCATACTCGTCGTGTGACGCTGATGATCACGGTGGACTCCGTCATCAGACAAGCAGCGACCGCGAGGCAAACAAACCGCGATGTTGCACGCGATTACGCACAATGCCATACGTGCACTAGCTCTGACCTCCTCTCACGTGGTGTGCCGTCCCCCCCTTCTGGAAATGTTTGGTTCGTGGACACGGGCAGAATGCAGCCGTGAGCCTGCTTGCCTGCTTCGCCGATTCGCCGAGGAACTGAGTGAGGTTACGCCGCATGGAGTCAGTACTCGCATCACTGTGCCCCCGACTACGTGTACCCAACAGGGCGGCTAAGCTGGTTAACCATCAGAGCCAGCACTAATACAAAAGTCGAGTGCCCCCAAGCAATGAGCTGTGCACACACAAATTAAGGTGGACTGGCAACGGAGAGCACTCGCCGACTTCGGGGAATCGTCAACACAACATACCATGTTCATCTCGTAACGTCTGCCTGGAACCGTTTTCATCCTGAGGCGGAGGGCGGAAGGCGCTCTATCGCGAACTAAATATACACGGAGGCAACGGGCGTGCGGGGTGCTGGAGGGGAGGAACGATGGCTAAGGAGTGAAGCACCCAGATTGCACCAAGGAGCCCACCTTCGGTGCGTTGGGCAACGAATGGCCTTGAAAATGCTGGTGGAGTTTTGAGGGGTATCTCGTGAATATCGAATTGGTGAAAACTCCAGTCAGCCATTCATACTGCAACAACAACTGCCTGTAGAGTAGTCCATGACGCTGCTGTTGCTGTGTTGCTACCATTTCATTGCTTGCGGCCTACGCCACTTATTTATGGGGTGATACTGTTTTGGTGATGTATTAACTTCACAAGAGGTCGACGACCGTCCTTCACACGGACGAAAGAGGGAGTGCTCAGAGAGCGGCTCCCACAGCAAGGAGGGGCCCCGTGAATCATCGCGGTGCCCCCTACCAAACTGTAATCTTACCAGTCCGCGTGACACAAAATCCTTCAGCACATGTATCCAACAACAATGTTCGCAGACCCACGAACACCCTCCCTGGTTCTTCACGCAAGTGACTAACCATCAATTGGGCAAGAACGCCCCTGGATACATCAGAAAATACCAACATGGTAATATATGGAGGGGAAACCCGACGTCCGGGCAAAACCCTTAAAAAGAAAACCCTACCACCACAAAAAAACCGTCGCTATCACAGGGGATCACAACGGCCGCACTTATTAGAAAGGCCAAGGCGAAGACAAGAACGCGAGGAACTACGTTCCCCCGGACGATGGTCTCCCAACGCCCCCTACTCCTGCCATTGGTACACAGACCGCGACAGTTATGCGCCTTTCCCCGCATGGAAAACATGGCCTCTCCCAAGTGCTAGAAACTGCTACAGCTACTCCGGCAAATTCATCAGCTTGCGCCGGTGATACTGCAAACTGGCCCTGCTAAGGGCCTTGGTGAGGAGGTCCGCGTGTTGCTCCGTTGTCGGACAAGCTTGACCGCAATATCCCCCGACCTAAACAATCCGCGGATGAAATGGAATCTCGCGTCGGTGTGTTTCGTGCGACCTGAGCTGAGAGGGTTCTGCACCAACGCTATGGCCCCCTGGTTGTCCTCAAGGAACTGGATGCTGCTACCACTGGTCTCTGGGGCAACAAACGAAAGCACA